GGTTGAGTGTGCGCCATCCATCCCTCCACGGAGAGATTTCTGGGGGAAAACACTACTGAGGAAGTAACTATAAAGTAGTCTATCTGTATGGGTGTCTATAAAGTGGTCTATCTGTATGGGTGTCTATAAAGTGGTCTTTCTGTATGGGTGTCTATAAAGTGGTCTGTCTTAATGATTGTCTAAAGATGTCTAAAGATGTATGTCTTTATGATTGTCTAAAGATATCTATCTTTAAGAGTGTTTACAAAGAGGTCTTTTTGAGTGTCTATATCCTTAACAATTATTAGTCAACAACCCTTAACAGCATCAAACATAAAATATTAAATTAGAAATTGCCAGTTGAGAAATCTAAAAATGTGTCAGGTGCGAAAATAAAATTAAAAAAAAAAAAATTGGAACGGTTTATGTAAAACAGAAGTTCAAGGTTGATATTTTTCTGTAGAGTTTTTTTTTTTTAAAATTTTATTTTCAAAATTAAAAAGAAAAAAATGTCGGTTTTTTCTCTCCCCTATTTTTAAGGCGGTGGTTTTTTGCTAACGGATTAGAGTTAAAAAAAATAATTTAAGGCACATAAAACTTTTATGACAGTTAAACCCATCACATGGGGTTTACACAGTTGCATGAAAAAATTAGTTTTGACTACAAAACATGTTGTGGTAAGTACTAATTTAGTAGTCATGTAATTATTAAATTACGTAAAGAGGAGGGGAGCAGTAGTGATTCGGTATGTTATACTGTGTTTAGAGGTTTATAGTTATACTGTGTTATATGGGTGGAGGTTTATAGTTATACTGTGTTATATGGATACAGGTTTATAGTTATACAGTGTTATATTGGGTAGAGGTTTATAGTTATAATGTGTAATATGGGTGAAGGTTTATAGTTATACTGTGTTATATGGATACAGGTTTATAGTTATACAGTGTTATAGGGGTGGCGGTTTATAGTTATTCTGTGTTATAGGGGTGGCGGTTTATAGTTATTCTGTGTTATATGGTAGAGGTTTATAGTTATGTGTGTATGGCTTGAGGTTTATAGTTATAATCTGTTATATGGGTGGAGGTTTATAGTTATACTGTGTTATATGGGGTAGAGGTTTATAGTTATACTGTGATATATGGATAGAGATTTTATCGTTTAACTACAATTCTTCAAAACAAATGTTAAAAGTAAATTTTTTTGTAACCATGTTTTTACAATACTAAACTATGGCATAGGGAGGGGAGGGGGTCTAAACACATTATGTAATCTTATGTGGTTGGTCCAAGGAAATATTGCATAACATTACAGCTGTTGGCTAGTGGGTTACTGACATTGCTATGTTATATCATACAATTCTGGACCTTACGACTTAACAGTTCCACTAAAAGCCTGTAAACACACATTGTTTAAAATATTAATACTTCTCCCGATTCCTTCTTGGAAATACTTTTAACACATGGTCACGCGAGACATCTGAAGTCTCGCGAGACTTTCCGGCCACCTGAGCTTTGTAACGCAGTAGGGGGTGTTGTAAGACTTCGTCCAATGGTTCGTCTGGCTTAAGGTCGTCTGCACCGAAGCAGACGGCTGGGTACAGTCAACAGTTGTAGGTTTGGCATGCAAAAGACGGCAGTTAACGTCTGCTGTGCCCCCGGGTTCAACGCTGGAAGAACTACCACACGTGTGCAGGGAAAAAATGCAGGGCTCACGTTTGTTTATTTTCATGTACACTTGTGACATCGTCTTTCTGTACCCCTCCCTCTGGTTACTCATGGCAACCAAGATTTTAGCAGTGATTCTATATATATATATATATATATATATATATATATATATATATATATATATATATATATATATATATATATATATATATACACAAATATATTCCTGCATATATCCTACATATGTATATGCCTAGATATATCAAATATGCATATATATATATATATATATATATATATATATATATATATATATATATATATATATATATATATATTTAAATGCATATATTTGCCTAGATATATGCATATATATATATATATATATATATATATATATATATATATATATATATATATATATATATACATATATATATATATAGTCACGCCGCCTCCGTTCTCCTCATCGTCACTAAAACCTTCGTCCTTGGTGTCGGAGGTAACACCCACCCCGCCTCAGATGTCCCCCCCCCCTCCCCCACTTCATGCAGGTTGCAACAAAATAAGCATGGCTCGACTAACGGCCAAGTTAATCCTGACATAATGAGCCTTCAGTTAATCCATACTGGCGAGTGACCTTTCAGCTTGTGACAGTTGGTACCGAGTAAGGTCATTTTGTCTGAGATTTTTCCACAACTCGAGTTCCCATGCTTTACTTCCACGCCCTGGGTCGGCTCTACTTTTTAAAATCATTTTTCGACGGGTTAAACCTAAAAAAAAACAATTTCCACAATGTTGATGTTATAAAACATAAAACTTATGTAACGGCAATCTGCATATGCGCGTACATGCTGGAGAAATACAATAATGTCTTTCACACTTACAATTATTCACTGAAAGCAATTTATTTCTAACAAATATTTATAACACAACACATCATAGTGCTGCAATGAACCTTAATATTTGAAACTGAGAAATAAAAAACGAATATTACACAGAGAGGCCCTGGATGATGAATACGGTCTTTGTTTACCCTTTCAAGTAATTTCGTTCACGTAATAATAATAGCATAGCGTTGAGAAAAAGGGAGGTAATAATATACAATAACTGACTGTGTTTATATAAAATACAAGGGCGTATTGGGATTAGCCGTCAATTTGACATGTTTTCCGCATTTAAAAGGAATGTTTTTGATGTGGGCACACCTCGCACTTAGTTATACACATTCAGTTTGAAACATCAAGAACGGCTGGTGGAAATTCAGGCCACATATATAATATAAACACACACACTTATATAATATAGGCGTATATATAAAAAAGGTAAACACATTCATACAACACTTAGGCCTAAACATTTTTCAACATCTAAGCTGACGGGTAGCCTGTGATGCTGTTAGTTTTTGAACTTTCGATCTAATAGAAGCTGATCTAATTAACCTAATTATAATCAATGACACGCGAGTTCGCTGACCACCTCGACCTGACCAAACTCCTAGACCAGACTAGCAGACGTCACGATGCTAGACCCCCCCTGGAGGTTACGTGTCCCGAGTGATTGACATAAGTACGGGAACACCCGACACTGTGTTGTTCTATGGGAGTTTTAGCCGTGTCTTTTTTCCGTTTCACATTTGATATCGATCACAAGATACCTAGGCTTCAATCATAAAATAAGTCACGTGATTCTATAAATAGCTACACGCTTCAACTGTTTTAGCTTTGTGTTTTACAGAAGCTCGAGAAAATCGATCTTACTCTTAGGCGAGAGAAAAAAAGATTCACCCCTCCCCTCATTTTTTTCCCAGCTCTGTATCGATACTAACTAAACCTACTGATCTTTTTATAACCTACCGACTTAAATTTGACCCAGGTTTTTACGCAAGCTTTCGCCGTTTTTTCCATTTCGGTATCGATATTGACCATCTAACACGAATATCGTCACAGATCCACCACAAAGCAGGCAGTTACAGCCTCACCTGGAGTAATCGATTCTGGCCGCTACGTGAACCCATACTCGGAAACTGGTTCACTCGCCTCCGGTCGACCTCTGAAAATATCTTTCCAGCGTTTAGACTTCCGTCTGGAAGCAAAGCCAGCATTCTTGCTGAGCAGTGGTTTCCCTTACTTTACCCTCCCCTCTTTACACATTTGAAAGAAATTCCCTCCGCCCCTCCCCTCTCAAAATGTTAAATAAACACGCCGTAATACAGATTTACATAGAATTTTTTTCCCCTGTACTTACAAGCACGTTGACATTTCGCGATCCTTGTCAACGAGTCCCCGCTCCACAGTTTGAAACCCGCTGACCCGCCGCTTGCCTCGTCGCCATCGCATTCGCTGATTGCTCTAAAACGAACCAATCAGATCACGATTCGAGTCGGAAAAAATATAAACGAAAAACCGAACCAAAAATATTTTTTCTTATTTTAAAAAAAAAGGGAAAATGTGAGAGGGGGGGGGGGGGGGGAGAGAGAAAATGTGCCGGCAGCAAACAAGTGGGCGGGTGTTAGCAGACGACGTTTTTCAATTCCTCGGACCAAATATTATTTAAGGTGCGTTAACGCTGTAAAACCACCAACAAATACAATTTTTATCTGCGTATTTCACGACATTTTGGGCTGTAGATTTTTTCTCCAGTTTTTTTTTACGCGACTGACGTCTGCTGTTGTTGTGTTCTGAGGTAAACAAGCAAAGTTTAATTACTAGTGTATTGATTCTGTCGACCCGAGCCTGCATGTCCGTTTCTTTATGTGATGCAATTTGCCTTTAACTCGATGGCTACTCGTAGTGACCATCAACCGAAACACAACATAATTTTACTGCACACTCCTCGCTCGATTATTAACATAATTTTAAAATAAAATAAAACGCACGAAAGGTATATTGATTGATATTTTATTCTAGATCGATTGTATTGTTTTGATTCTCATTCGGATTATCGAAAAACAATTATCAAAACTACATGTTTTGAAACATTGTTACTGTTATCGGTGATTCCTTAAATATATAATGGATATATATACGTGTATATATATATATATATATATATATATATATATATATATATATATATATATATATATATATATATATATATATACATAGATTTACACACACTTATAAGACTTAACGGTTTGAGCATAATTTTAAACAATAGTCTATTAATAGTCTGCATGTTGTTTTCGTCATTGTGAGTAATTAGGGCGGTTCATCTATCACTCACCCGGAGTTTTTTAAAGCTTAGGCTTAGGAATTTGGCATGTAGGCAGGTTATTTCAGACACGGCTGAATTTAATGTGTTTTTTCCCGCCACTTCAGGTAAGGGCTCTCTACCGTCTGCTCTATACAATTTCTTATAGTCTGTTCACATTTTCCAACCAACACGGTTGCGCACGATTAATTCAATGAAACCGCCTCCCGGCAAGTAGATCCAGCGGGGAAGTAACTCCTCCGCTTCGCGCGGCTCGTGACCTAGTTAGAAGCCAGCAGACGACAGTACCTTGTATTATTTATTTCTGTGCAAGCATGTTTCGTTTCATGCATGGCGAGGCAGAGGGAGAGCTTTGACCTAGGTCGACTATTTTCTTTTTATCTAAAACACAATTTTAACACACACAGGCCAGCATAGAGTTCGTGTGACCCACATTTTTATTTCAGCGGTTTACTTACAAGAATTCTTTACAACAGGTAAGTTTTATTTTTGTTTTACCGTAACAAAAATTGTCTGCTTAGTCACGTAGCTTAAAAAATAGGTTGTGTCCAAAATATTAAAACAAGGCTACATAAATCTCGCCTTCTATGAATCTACATTCACCAGTGTTATGTTTTGAAATGTGTACCTTTAGCTAAATAACGTGGGAGGCTTCTGTACGGAAATATGGTTGAAACGAGTGCCGTCATTGACTTGTGGTGTGTTCCCATGCTAGATCTAGAATCTAGGCGAGTTCCTGTCAACATGTTGGCAACAGGAAGTGTGTTGTTATCCGTGATTTGAATTTTAATACACTGGGCTTCTAAAATATTGTTTACCACGAAACGATCTACTAACGGCATGGTCTTGGCACGTCACACGTGATGTGGAGTACTGTAAATTCTTATTAAAATATGTTTTTTTTAAAAAACCATTGGTGACCTAAGTACAGGCCTACTTACTTAATATATCCAAACACACGATTCATGACGTATTTATTTATACGGTCGTAACAAAACAGAAATCAGATAACACGTGTCGATATTATTGTTGTGACAGCCTAGCTGGCTCTCGCCATACTTTGTCGCAATGTTGATACTAGAAGTAAGGTGGGCTTGGAACTGGAGTAGATACTCAGTGGCGTAGGCAAGGGGGGTTATAACCCCTCCCCTGGACTCACACCCCTATATATATATATATATATATATATATATATATATATATATATATATATATATATATATATATATATATATATGATTTTATACATATGGAAAAATGTTTGAACCCCTCCCATTACCAATGCCTGCCTACGCCACTGTAGATACTTGTTAAAATTATAATATTTTATTTCAACCCCTCCCTCCCCCAGGACTTAGCATGACCCCCCCCCCCCATACCTAACAGAAAGAAAATGTATAGGCTACTTTAACAATTCTCACAATTACCGCCCCCTCAACCCCCACCCCCGGGGGCAAAATGTCTACAAGATAACATGATAACAACACCAGCCCTAACAGTGGCACCGCCTGAAAACAATATGAACTAGATCTATACTTCAATAATCTGCCTTGATTACTTTTTTTTTAAAGTGCCATTTCGATGAAGGTGCGCCACCTTAGTTGCTATGGAGACTAGATACATTATAAACAATACCGTGCTACGGCTGAGTTATCACCACCTATGTTGGCGCCAGCAGCGTCATAGGACTGTCAATACAATGTTTTATCGAAGGGGTCATTCGTATATGACGTCAAGCTTCTTCTTTGACGATTCTCATCCCCACACCCCACTTTCCACATTGTCATAAAATTTAAAAACCCAAACCCCATTATCGTTACACTTTCTGACCCTCCCCCCCCCCCCCCACCAAGCGTGTGACACTCATCAAAGTGACGTCACTAGTTGCCACGCGTCGTTGTGGGTCAGAATCAGTCGTTGACTAATTAATTAATTAAACATGTAAGGCTAGCTTTGATGAAAATACGATACGCACAAAAAATAATATCAATATTCATTGCTTGCAAGGGGTGTGGATAGTGGGGGGAAGGGGGCGGTGGCACCATCCGCATTGAGGACTGATAGGGTGGCACCATCCTTGGGGGGGGGGGGCATAAAGAGAAATGTAATATGGCAACATCCGTAATGTGGGCTGAAACGGTGGCACCACCCTTGGGGGGGGGGGGACATAAAGAGAAATGTAATATGGCACCATCATTGGGGGTGGAAGAGGTGGTATCATTCATGGAGGGTGGGGGACATAAAAAGAAATGTAATAGATCAAACACAGACGTACCGAGTGTTTTATCAATCGATCCTAATTAAATTAGCTTGCATAATTAAGAACAGGTGACACCATCCACGTGGGTGATAAAATGTAACTTCGCTCATTTCAATTTTCGATAGAAGGAACAGCTTGGTCGAGGTGGGTGTTTATTAACCTTGTAAAGTCTTCCTTTGTTTCTTTCTTTATCTTCTCTTGTGCGTATTGTTCTTTCATTCATTCCCTTATTCATTCTTTCTTTCATTATTTTTTCTTCCTTTCTTACTTTTCAAAATGTATTTTTTCTACATATCTCTCTTTCTCTCTAACACACACACATATACACACATCAAGGCAGACACACACATTCTCTCTCTCTTTGTTATAAATAGCTTTAACGCTTCAAGTTCACTTCAACAAGTTGTTATTGGCCTATTAATCTTTTAAAGACTTTCACAAGCTCAACCGAATCCAAAAAAGAATGACGTTGTTGCTTCTTAATTCCCTCGCTGTGTGAGTACAAATATACCCAGATAGTTTGTCGTCTGTATTGAGAGATCGAGTGAGACATAAAACTTGTGTCCGTTCAAAATGTGACTGATTTTAATACGTAGCGATACAAAGGCGACCTTGTAGAAGCCACAAAAGAATAGGGAAGTTTGTGAAAGCAGCATCGGTAGATATTGGCCTGGCTTTGTTTTAGATTTTCAATAATCGTTACACCAGTCTTTGGTTAAATCAAGCTTGCGGATTACTCAGTTTTGTTGATTTTACATAACGTTGTAGTGAATCTGGCCAATTAAAAAAATGTTACATGTAGAATTTCAAAAATAAAGTTTGTTGTTTCTTTAAATAAAATTGCTACTATGAATGTCAACTCGCTGGTATGTATAAGTTCGTAGTTATAAACAAAATAGAAAATACTCTTCCGAACCTGACGGTCCATGGCAAAGGTGAGTCCACCTGTTTCAGTGACCTCGGTATGTGAAGGGATAGTGGTCAACACTATACCCAGCCACCTTCCCTTTCCCTAATCGTAGTTAGAATTTAGAACATTATGCAGCTGTCTGATATTCTTTTATTTTGAACATTTTGAATATTTCTGTTGTTAAGTATATTTTTCCTGCGTTAAATTGAAACCTAGAATAGCGACATCTGTTTTTTTTTTATTGTCCTGCTTCGAACCTGTTACAATTCTGCTAAACACTTTGAAATGTGACGATAACAAAATACTTGTCAATGTCGACTTGTTTCTGTCAGTGTGAAACGATCTGTTATTTTTTAAACAATATCTGGGAAGTCTGGTCAAGAGACATGCAGATCTTCTTTCTGGTACCTGGCGAAGAGGCGGGCCGACTTTATCAAATCCAGAACTCGTCCTTTCGTGTGTTAATTCTATGGTGTTTGAAGTTTTACTCCAAACCTATAGGATGTGTTTTAATGATTTACGTTTTCGCGATTTTCCAGATTGTGTAATTTAGGAAGAATTAAGTCGAGCTGATATAAAGAAACATGAACTAATAGTCGGCTAACGATGCTCAATTTCACTCATTGGCGGCACAGGGTGGGACCGGCCGCCCACGGCGGGACTTTTGTTCTTGTAAAACGGGATGCCGGAATCGTAGATCGGCCCTGAGAGGCAAGTTTTGACTGCGATATTTGTTTTTCTTTCAGCTTGGGTTTCCTGTTATTAAGACTTGACATACATGATGATCAGCACTATCTCATTATCTTAGATTGGCTAACGTTGTAGTCTTTAACAGCCGTTGTAGTGTTTTAATTAATAAATTAATTTTTTGTTGTTGGGGGGGGGGGGGGGGGATAAGTTGAGCTATGTTCTCAGATAATTCCTTCTTAGTAGAAACATTCCTGATTGTCACCTGCTCCATGCGGTTTGTGTGATTGTTAACTTTGTATACGTTGGTAATGTGAAATCATAGAATCGAACCAGGGACCTTTCACAGCGCTTGTACCAACGTTCATCAGTTTGCTGTCCAGTGGGGGGGGGGGGGGGGGTGATATTATGTTGAAAAAACTTAACTGTCAAAACTGTGTTTTATCCTGTTGAGATAACAAAATAGATAAGGGAGGAGTGACACCAAACCCAAAATGGAAAATTGTTGGAGAGTGTGGGGTGACACCCTCAGTTACCGCACCGGGGGACAGCCGACCTAGTGACGCCATTGCTGCTGTCCGCAAAGGCTTGTGTATCTCTGTACATAGCAGTTTCTTTCAGACATCACTTCGGAGGGTGGAGGGGGCGAAGAAAGTCTACCGCCCCCCCCCCCCCCATCGAAATCGAATGTATATAATATATACTTTTGCCAGTGTCCGCCCCCTCCCCCCCGGAGGACCAGTATCATTTCTACCTCCCTAGTTTCCTTGTTATGTGGAAATGGCAGCAGTTCAACTGAAAAATAACTTTTCTTTGTTATTAAACACTTTTTTTTATCAAAGGTACATTAATTTCACAATTAAAGTTATTTTTAGGAACACCAGCTTGTAAAATCGATTTTAAAAAAATGTTAAATCAAAATACGTCGTTTGATGTCATTATTGACTGTTTATGATTAATTCTGTGTAATTTTGTAATTTTACTTTAAAACAGACTTTTAAAATTGTGGATGCTCCGAGCCATACCATTATATCATGCATAGATGTAACTCGCTTGAAGATTTAAAATCTATGTACGGGTATATGGTTTTAAGGGCCTATTAAAATAAAGTTGATTTCAAGGGATTATACGAGTCATATTATTTAATGGGCTAAAACAAGTCACACAAGTGACTGATTGCAAACAGTGTTTCTTCCAGACTTTCTCCGGGGGGGGGGGGGCGGGGCGGTAGACTTTCTTCGGGGGGGGGGGGGGGCGGATACTGTTAAAAGTATATATTTTCTATATAAATTATATAAATTTCATTTCAATCGGGGGGGGGGGGGGGCGGTAAAAAAGATGCCTGGAAGAAACTCTGATTGCAAACACTTGTCACACCTGATAATAGGCTAATGATCTTTCGGGTTACGAGCTAATACAAACAATTTCATAGGGCCAAACTTTGAAATGATAATATGGGGCTCATCATTTCCTACCTTGGGCTGACTCTTGATTATTCCTTGCTTCCATACTGCCGACGTATGTGTGGGGTTTAAGATAACGGCCAAAAAAAAACAAACTATAAAACTACCCAATCTAAATAGCATTGACAAAAAGGGATCCAACAAAAAGACTAAAAAATGCTTTCAACAATAGCTAATTTGTCTAGAGTCTAGAGCTTAAATAACAGTTGTTTTTTTATCGTGAAACATTTTGATGGAAATCAGTTTGTTTGGAGCTTAAATAACGGGAACCTTTTTGTCAGAAGCTGAATTGACGGGAGCCCGATTGTCAGTAGCCGTAATAAAGGGGTAGGTTAACAAATATCTGGCGACTTTTTGTACCGGTTGAGTTTTTGTGATATCACCTATGTTACGCCAAGAGTCCAGAGGAGGTTGGAAAACTTACGGTGTAGACCCAAACGTGAATGGGGGAAAAAAAACTCCCAGATCTTATTACATTCGTGAATCGTTCGTTAAACCACAGTAAAGCCCTTGTTCATAAACTAATTCCCCGGCTTATATTTAATGTCTCTTTGATTGACAAGGACAAACTAAACCGTTATATCAAACGTCAGTCGTTCTTTTTTTTTAAACCAGGTAAACCGAACAGAAATTTGATACATCAAGATTACAATCATGTCATGAAAATACTGTTTGTTTACGCTTTTCACAAGTTACCAGCTTGGTAGTTAGTCCACATTTTTTTCACCCAGCTTTGTGGATTCTAATTGATACAGCTGAATGAACCGTAACTGGGACAAGTGTGTACATTGAATGTAAAACTCTAAACCCACCACGCCATGAGTTGCGCACAGTGACGGTCTCAGCGCGTGCTCAGCTATCGATTGGCCAATTTTGGTTTCGTCTTGTACGACACAAGGTCACGTGCTTCGTATTGAAAACCGACAACCTACGACATTATTATCAGTTCGACTCCATTTTCCCCCCTCTCTCTCACTCTTCCTCTACGAAGACGGCGAGGGGTGGGGGAGATGAAAATCTATTATTAAGACAATTTATTCTTAAAATTTTAGACACGTTGCCGTGGCGACAACGATTTTTCAATGTGGTTGGGTTTTTCAGATGTTTATGATGGCGAGTTATATTTCTACAAACGTAACAGCTTATGTCTACTGTTAGCTTAATGGCCAAATTATTTAAATAAAAACTCAACATTATTCTAGCCACATTTTAAATTCGAAATATGTTCAAAATGTTACATACATGTTGAACATAATTAATAAAAAAAAAAATTAGCCTTGATGTTAATGTTGGTTTGTTTAATGGATCCTGAAGACAAAGAGAAGAATATCGATTCGGCCGTGGTAACAGTGTAGAGGGTATGCTAATGTAGCGGGCAGCAAGTTCTGAAGTGATGTTACATACCGTCAAACCAACGAGACAGTCACATGACCCTTGCCACACCTGTAGTAGGCTAATTCCCAGGTGCGCGACCTATTTTTCCTAACCCTGAGGTCATATTCTCGCCAACTATATATATATATATATATATATATATATATATATATATATATATATATATATATATATATATATATATATATATATATATATATATATATCTGTGTGTATAATTTTTGTTATTTATATATGCATGCATGCATTTATTTATACTGTACAACTAGACTGCCCCCGCTGCATTGCTACATTCTTATTCTCGTCTGGTCCTTGGGGAGCATACGACACTTTCGCTTCAACTTCAATCGATCCCATCCTTAGTCTTAAAAGATGTTATGCAGGTTATTTTTGGACATTGTACGCATTACTAAAACAATGCTGAGATTTTTACGATCTGAGGATTTTTCTGCACATAATTCAGTCGAACTGTCTAATCTTCAGTAATATCCAACAGCCAATCAACATCACCAGAAACCTTCAGCAATAGCTCAATAACATGTTCAGTAGCGATCAATAATAGCTTTCAATAATAGCTCAATAATCTTTAGTAACTTCCCACAGTAGCACAATATAATCTTCAGTAGCCTCCTACAATATCGCAATATCATCCTCCGTAACTTCCTACAATAGCTCGATATAATATTCAGTAGCCTGCAACAAAATAAGCGCAATAATATCTTCAGTAACTTCCTACAAAAGCGCAATAACATCATCAGAAACATCCAACAATAGCTTAACTACGTCTCACCACCCTCCACCCCACCCCCACAATACCTGATTGCCAAAAAAAAAAAACCTGATTAAAAAGTCAGACAATGAAATAGCCCCCGCGGCCATTAAACAAAGACCAACACCGCCAATTATCCCAGGATCCTGTCATCACTGACGTCTCTCTGTCACTGTCCGCTTGTTGTTTATCTTCCCCAGCCACCAGCGACAGTGCCGGAGCAGCCCTATGATGTACGGCTTGTTTGTGTAGACAGACCAGACCAGTCTTGAACCCGCCACACGATGGAGAGAAACACCACCCCCGCCCCGCCCCTCAACCACACGGACTCCTCACACTTTGTACCCTTTTCAGATGAATTTTTTCAAAGTAAGCGTTCATCTAGCGTACAGTAACGTATAGGTCTTGATAAATATAAATAAGTATATATATATATATATATATATATATATATATATATATATATATATATATATATATATATATATATATATATATATATATATATATATATATCCACGCATGTGTGTACATGTATATGTGTATAATCTCGGTTAATTATAGCCTGCTGCAACTTTCCTTCTATGCTTATGACAAATGGTGCAGGAAAAATAATTCCTACGCTGTTAATTTATGCGCGACATACATCACCATAGCTGAGGTTACAGTAACACTTCACTAGCAACTGTTCCCGTAGTAGCTACAGTCACGGGAAACTTTTCACTCTTTCGCCTAAAGCAGTGGTTCTTAACCTGGGTTCAATCGAACCCCAGGGGTTCAGTGAGTAAGCCTCAGGTATTCGAGTCATTATTCGCGATCGAATTTCGTCAGTTCGGACAATAGAGCTATTTAGAAGGGTTCGGTGCATGCGCATATGAAACTGGTGGGGTTCGGTACCTCCAAAAAGTTTAAGAACCACTGACCTATAGCTTTTATTAACATGCTTACAAACTTACTTAAATTTAAATCCACGAGGCTCATCTTTGCATCTTTAAAAGGATTAATCATGTTAATTATTACATCTTAGTATTATCAATAACGGGATGAGCTAATGAGCCTGTGGGATTAATGAAAGTTTAAAATAAAAAGACAAACAAAGACGATATGTGTTCTGTAAACGCTACTGACGCCATAGATATCATATTCTCCTTTTTTTCACACCGCACAAATCAGTTTGTCAGAATTTGGAATTCTGTATTACTTGAGACTATGGGGGACTAGCCTAGTCTAGTCCCCCCCCCCCCCACCCCACCCTCCTGTCAACGGACAGCACGCCACGGATTAGCGACTGTATTATTATACCACATATCTACCATCGCATCCCAAAGTTAAGGAGAACGTCCTTATATTTCTGATTACCTTTACATCTGACTGTGTACTATTAGATTCTGACGTTTAATATAGGACCTGAATGTTTATCCACCAAGGTCACGTGATTTAAAAAAAAAAAACAACATTTTTTTTTCTTAGACTTAACGGTAGCGGAGACCATTTTCGTCGTTGTTTGTGCCTTGGTCACCATAGCAACGCTTGCCATCTTCGTGGAGGAAGTCGTGTATGTGACCCGTCACTACAAGACAAGTAATGACATTAAGATCAAAACCTTACAAGTCCTCAGCATTCTCCCGGTAAGTCTCAGATAGGTATCTGATTTCTTAGAAAAACATTCTCACACACAATCTCTCTCTCTCTCTGGCATCTCCCTCTCTTATATACACACCTTTCTTTCACTCTTTCTCCCTTTTTCTCTCCCTTTCTCTCTCATTCCCTCCCCTCTGTCTCTCTGATTTCTCCCCCTCCTTTTCTCTCTATTATCTCTCCCTTTTTCTCTCCCCCTTTCTCTCTCTCATTCCCTCGCCTCTCTCTGAAGTTAAAATCACATTAAACTAATGGCAGCTTTCATCTTTTGCTTATATTAGTTACTATTTATAGGTCAGCTAAAAAACATAGTTCCAAGATCAAAAGCCTCTTACTACTGGTCAAGTAGAGCTCAGTTCTTAACATTCCCAGGGTGGTAGAAAGGGGTGGGGGTACGTCCAGTGGCGTAGCGAGGCCGGGTGGCACCCGGTGCGGCACTTAATGGTGTCACTCCCACACCCCCAGAGGCGTAGCGACCCTTCCCGGGGACAAATTTTCAATTTTTATTTTCGATTTGCACCCCCCCCCCCCCCTTCAAACTTTCGATTTGCATCCCCCCTCAAAATTTCGATTTGCACCCCCCACTCAAGTTTTTCTCTATGTGTTTCGCTATTTTTTGCCTTGGTGTCACCCACCCTGGCTAAATGGTGTCACCCGGTGCGGTCCGCACCCCCCGCCCCCTCGCTACGCCTCTGGGTACGTCTAACACCCGACCATAATTTAGGTAAAGAAAGCGTGAGTGAATATGTCTGGTCACTTGCAGTTTTCAAAAGTTTAAAGTAAAACACACATAGCCAGATGTACATTAGTTTTATTTGTCCCGAGGAGGGGGGGGGGGTGGTGAATAATGCAGGTGATAGAACAATGGCCAGGACATTGTGCGCAAAATCGGCTGGAGTAGTTTTGTCGAGATATCAAAGTTATTGGTCGAGATATCAAAGTTATTGGTCAAGATATCAAAGTTATTGGTCGAGATATCGAGGGTATTGGTCGAGATATCAAAGTTATTGGTCGAGATATCAAAGTTATTGGTCGAGATATCAAAGTTATTGGTCGAGATATCAAAGTTATTGGTCGAGATATCAAAGTTATTGGTCGAGATATCAAAGTTATTGGTCGAGATATCAAAGTTATTGGTCGAGATATCAAAGTTATTGGTCGAGATATCGAGGGTATTGGTCGAGATATCGAGGGTATTGGTCGAGATATCGAGGGTATTGGTCGAGATATCGAGGGTATTGGTCGAGATATCAAAGTTATTGGTCGAGATATCAAAGTTATTGGTCGAGATATCAAAGTTATTGGTCGAGATATCGAGGGTATTGGTCGAGATATCGATGGTATTGGTCGAGATAACAAAGTTATTGGTCGATTTTTCAAAGTTATTGGTCGAGATATTGAGGGTATTGGTCGAGATATCAAAGTTATTGGTCGAGATATCAAAGTTACTGGTCGAGATATCGAGGGTATTGGTCGAGACGTCGAGGGTATTGGTCGAGATATCGAGGGTATTGGTCAAGATTTAAAAGATTGTTGTCGAAATAGTACAGATTTTTGGTCGAGATACTAAAGATTTTGGTCGAGATATCAAAGATTTGTATCCAGATATCATAGATTTATATCGAGATATAAATCAACAATTATGATCAGGGTATAAATTATTTTGGCCTGAGTAAGCTTAAAAATTTTGTTCAGACGATTGAACCTAAAGTTACAAAGTTCTTAAAAGACATTCTATATGTCCTACTTTAAGGGTAAAGAACGGTAACTCGTACCAGATTCGCCCACCTGTGTATGTATAATTCCGATGGTGAGTGAACGTGATAAGGTCTACCTTTGCTTGAGGCCGATTGTTGTACAGGTTCTCATACAAAACCCCACAGGACAGTACATTATTATCCTGTAGAACTTTTTCTTCTTTTGTCGGAATCGCTGTTAAATGCCAGGGCAGGGTCAAGGTTAAAGCCAAGGTTACGGGGCTGGTTACGATGCGATAAAAAAAATTATACTGAATTTATATCGTGCTGAAGTTTAAAAATGTTCCGTAAGTTATAAATAGTAGGAGATATTGGTTGAAAGCAATCGATTAACTTCAAAGAGCATCAGAAAAACATTAGGCTTACTGTCTTACCACCCACCCCCTAATTAAGTTATATCATTTATGACCATTCATATTTCTCATTATTTTTAGCTTAAAACGCTGCATACTAAAAAATTTCGATACCATTGATAATAAATTGCATATTTTATTTTTTAATAATTTTAGGTTATCTCCCTTGTTGCCTTCCTAGCACTTTGTATTCCAAGGGCGAATACCCCGTGTCATTTGATTATCTTCACGTAAGTAAAAGCCAAACTAAAATGGTTTTAAATATCTCCTCAGTATTACCTAATTTTGGTTAATTATTTATTGTTAAAACATTCTTTGGAAATGAAATAGGTCGATTACTGTATGTCAAAAATCATTCCCTACACGTCAATACATGGTGTTTACAGATTTCAATCAGATAAATGAAGTAAAGTATTAAAAACTGAATACACCATTTTTGTATGTAAGTCGGATAAGCAGGCTGATGTATGCATTAACAAGTGTGAAAGCACATAAATAAAACTTAACTTCATGAAATCAAGAAAGTAATAGGCTCATTTAAATTTCTCAATAGATTAAATTTTTACATAAATACTAAAATACCACTAAACTATTATGCAGTGGTGGAAAAGGTAAATGATATTATAGACATGTGCCAGTTTGGTTGTTTGGTCTATCCAAGTTCAGTGATAGAATGTTGAAAACAAAATATAGCCATTTTGGTAGGGCTTAAATCTAGGCCTTTAATTAGGGCCTGCTCAATTAACATAATCTGGTAGGTATGAATTCTTGTAAATTAAAAAAAACCATCTAAAGTATCATAAAAAAAACAAAAAACCCACATTTTAGTTCCCTCTACATTGTAACAGGAGGCCTAATATTTATTATTTCAAATAGATAAGACATAACCTGTCTTGGCATGTTTCCTGTTTAAAATCCAGCTTTGTATGTGTTGTTTCAGGTACATCTCAGTAACATTGTATAACTTTGTGAACCTGATGATCCTCTACTGTGGTGGCCTGAAGCAGATGCTGCCTGTCCTGAAGGATGCCACAATTGAGCTTCAGTCTCCTCCATTCTGCTGTTGTTGTCCCTGTCTGCCATCAAAGCATGTCACACAGTAAGTCAGGACCACATTTGCTTTGTTTTTTCTATAATTGTGTTTAAAAATCATTCTCATCGTCTTTCCCATTCAAAACCCAAGACACATGGGGCATATGAAGTAGAGTTTGTAAGAATTTGGTTGGGTTTTTTTTTTCATTTCTAACTTGGGCTGTATTAAGTAACTAGAAGCAAAGCCTGTTGAAAAAAGGCAAACAAAATACAAAAACAAAAAAAATACATGTTGTTTAAATCTAAACATTTTTTTTTGTTTCCCTTTCTATCTGTCCCTTTTTCTGGCCATTTATGCCTTCTGTATTTTTATGTTATTTGGTTTTACAAGACACAGATAGACTTATTGCTTTATTAAATAGTATTATCATCATTTGATTTTTTTTCCTAGGCAAAATGTGCAGAGGTTAATTATTTTGGTCCTGCAAAGTGCCCTAAGTCAGCCAATTTTTGCAGCTCTCTCCCTTTTCTTGTGGATAGATACTAAATATACCAAAGGAAAAGTGAGTTTTTTTTTTAACATTTTAATTTTAATTCTATAGTGAAAAGTTAAAAACTTTAATGTATTTGCATTTCTTTTCTACACTACTTATATATTATCAATTTAATCTTTTATTTGTTATTTATGACCAATTCTGTTTTTATTATTACTCTGCCTGGTATTTTTCTTAGCTTTCATGTTAAATTATTTCTCTTTTTTTCATGTACTTATAAGCTTTATTTTAATGAACTTTAATAAAATATTTTCATTTCTTTACAGATAAGTCTTACAGATTCATACCCCTATATTACATTTTTCAGTCAAGTTTCATTTTTATTGAGTCTTTATGGATTCATCATGTTTTTTGGTGTCTGCAAAGTATATCTCAAGCCAGTATTTATTTTGGTGAAATATTTGTCAGTGCAATTGATAGTCTTGGTGTGTCTTTTACAAGAAGCTGTGTTTTCTATCTTGGCCAAGTTTGGCCTGCCTGCTTCTCGAGGAATTTTATCCTCTGATGTGAGAGGCGAAGGTAAAATTCCTGTGGCTAAAATTAATTTTTTGTATGCTTAATTACAGTTTGATCGAAGTGGAAGATACAACTCATAACAGCTGTACAGAATATTAAAAAGCTATGAGAAAAATTAGAACTAAACATATGACATATTTAAAAAAAACTATACAAATAACTTGATCCTAAAATTGAATTGTTACAGATTATTTTGTTAGTTATCACAAACTCTGCATAATCAATAACATTTTCTTGCATATTCAGTATAATTATTCATAGAACACAGGCTAACAAAAACCGTAATCTTTGAAATTATAACACATATTTTAGAAAAAATTGTAAACTAACATAACTTGAACATATATTTCAGCTTACTTCTTGATGGCCGTGATCATACAGGTGATGCTTTTATCTGTGTTGAGCCGTCACGTGTATCGGCATCCCCATGATCAAATAAGGAAACTCAACACAGACCATGATCAAAATGATGGAAACAATACCAACCATGACACAATCAAATGTAAAATATTGCCTGGAGATGAGACAGAAAGCACAAGGGCATTAACTTCAGACCTGATCAGTGATCAAGAGTAAGTGTTTACAAATCTTTATAAAAAATAATAAAGCATTTGGTGGATTTATTTTGGTAATATGATATACTTATGGATTTACTTTGGTAATATGGTATATAATATGAAATAAAATTGTCTATACAAAATTAACAAGTCTTGATTTTCATCAATAAAATATTTCCTGTGATCATAAATCAAACTTAATGTAACTTTGAGTGTATTTATAAATAAATATTAAAAGCTTAAAATTCAAGGTTGACACAAACTGGAAGTCAAATATTATATTTTCAGGCTTAAATAAAGCTTTTGATAAATATAAAGTAAGAGTTTTATTTAATGTGCTGGCAAACAAAATATAATTTATTAGTTCAACTTACAATAAAACAACAATTTTGTTATAAAATTGTTGATGAAAAAAATGTCAACTTTTCTGTACTGCTAAAATATATTTTATTAGACTATACTTTATTTGTATGGACAATGCCATTAAAATATACAATTAGCAGTAAAAATTCCAGGTTTTTTTTTTAAATTTAAAATAATACATTTTTGTATTTTATTTTTCAGTCTTAATAATCCTGCAATACCAGTCTGATAGCTCGGACCCAACAATAGAGCCCTCAACTAAATCTGAACTGGTTGTTTTGAAATTCAACTTTTATTGTAGATGGCTCTATGTGAAACTCTCCACTAATGTGTGTCCAGAACTGGACATTGATATTTAATTTCTTGTAATGTTCATGTTTCAATGAGATTTCAAGAAATATTTTTGTTTATTATTTAAACTGAGATTAGAAAAAAAAAACCTAATAAACTGTTGGGTATCATTTTTTAAATTAAAATATTTTATTATATTATAACCAATAATTGCATTGTTTCACTGTTGAAAAAAAACCACAGCATCAGTTAAAGTTGATGACTACTCACCAAGAACTATGGAGATTGACATGTTTCACAATTCAAAGTGCTACAGGAATAATATAATCTGGCAAGTTCCTAATTGTTACAGGAACAATGTTATGTTGACTGATAAGTTTTAAAAATTATAAGTTTTACCAGAACAATGTTGATTGAAAAGTTAATTTGTATGTTAAAGTTCAATGAATTTTTGTAAAAATGTGCAAATACATATATTTAAATATTACAATGCTATCCTCTTATCTGCATACATTTTGAAAATTTCAAACATAAAAAAAAGTTGGTCTTAGATTTTTACAAATTAATTAAAATGGTGTGTCCAGGTAATGCATTTAGATCTGTGTCCAAAATATTTTAATTTTAAATAAATCCCTGAGCTTCCATGATTTTCTCAGGGCCAAAAATTTATAGCCATTTTTGTTTGGCTTTTAAATTGTACATTAATATTTTCAAATCTCTCATTTTACATTTTGGAATATACATCATAAGAATATACTCAGCATAATCAGGATTTTTCAATATCTGGCCATGCACTGTAGAATTGAAATAATGAAAACTACCTCATGCAACTGAGATATATTAGCATAAGGGCTTCTGATTGAATATTAATGAAAATTTGTCTGGAACTCAAATTTAAAGTACCCCTTAGGGAATAGTTAGGATTGTAACAAATGGCCAGGTACACTTCAAATTTTAATCTCAATGAGATTCAATCTTCCTCCCCAACAAAAGAATTCTGCAGCACAGTCAGACTCACCTATCATTGTATGGCACTGGTTTATGTTGGTATCAAAATTGTGCTCTTATTTCTCGTATTTAAAAAATTGTGATTATAGTATTTGAAATGTGTAATATATTTTTTCAGTTTTACAACCCATTTACAATTGACTTTCTACAGTTTGGGTAAATAAATTATATAATCAATATTGCATATGTGGCAACCTAGTATTAATGAGTGTTCACTGGTGTACAGTTGTTTGCCTTAGCAGTAGCAAAAATGAAAATCAATAAGATTAGTCTGTTGTTCTTTTATTAGAACTAGTTTTTAGTTTTTTCTTAATTTCAGGAATTCACAAATTTGCTAGTCTATGAAAACCTTGACTTTCCAACATTTGGAGTTTACTTTTTTTTCATATTACTAGTTGACCATGTTGTTGTACTATTTATATAAATGTTATTCATAAATGTAATATTAATTTGTGGATTGAAATATCTTACATTTTTAGAATATTTTCTTTTCTTTGTGATGTTAAGTATTTTTGTCAGTTCAAGTTACATAATATTGCATGTAGCTTATTTTTAAAAATATATTTATGTATCGTTTATTTACCTTATTTTACAACTAGAAAATTTTAATGCATGCATGTGTTATGAGATTCAAATATTTTTTAAAATAAAAAAAAATGATCTCATTCTAATTAGAGATTTATGACTTGACTGAAGTTTTTGTTTCTGTGTGTACAGATTATCTTAGGGTTTTTCATATCAAGGCTTATAACCCTACTTTAAAACATACAAAAGTTATATGTACTACAACCAGTGTTTCTTCCAGACTTTTTTCTCCGGGGGGGGGGGGCACTTGAAATCTTCGGGGGGGGGGGGGCGGACACTGTTAAAAGTATATATTTTCTATATAAATTTCATTTCGTTCGGGGGGGGGGGGGGTGGGGGGGGGGGCGGTAAAAATTTTTCGGGGGGGGGGGGGGGGCTGAAGAGATGCCTGGAAGAAACTCTGACTACAACTGGTGAATCACACCAGATGATTACAGTTTACAGTAATGAGATGCATCACCTAATTCCACCTCAAACTTTTGGAGTTTCTGTATGCAGAGTATAACAGTGGTAAAATGCAGTCTGTTAATTAACTCAGATATGCACATTAATCTTAATAAGATCTAATAATTACAGTTAGTTAGCTTTTCATTACTGAAATGGGAATTAACTACTGATACTGATTAATTGAGTAATATGTCTATCATAATTTTTTTAATTAGTATAATTAGCATTATTGAGACCTGTTACACTTAATTAAAGTGTGAAAATAAACAATTAGTCCGCGTGTTGCTCAACACCACTTCACTCAACAATCCCTTTTTGCTGGATCTGTTCTCCTTACCTTACTTACAAAGTGTTTATGATGACCTAATCGAAATAGTGTCTCCCCAAGCAACTTTTTTAAAGTCTAAAACACAATATTTTAAATAATACAATCGGGCTATATCAGGTCATTTTATTTTTAAGAGTTACCTACCCTTAAAGGTAAATATGCCTGTGTAAGCCGCCTGATCGTGCTTATGTTTACATAGGTGAGGTAAGCCTGTCGCCCCTCCTGGGAAATAGGCAGCTTACTAGAGCAGTGTTTCTTCCAGACTCTTTTCTCCGGGGGGGGGGGGGGGCACTTGATATTTTCGGAGGGGGGGGGGGGCACTGGTAAAAGTATGTTTTCTATATAAATTCCATTTCGTTCGGGGGGGGGGGGGGGAATGGAGATGGTGTTAGGCCAGTTGATGCCTTTGGTGGTGGTTGTTACTTTCCAGCATTCGATGCCATTCAGCAGTACGCTAAGGACATTACTTTTGGAATCTCTGCATTTGGTCTTGAAGGGGATTTTCTTCGATCCCCGTGTTTTGCATGGTTTGCGGATAACAATTTCGGAGGGGGGGGGGCGGACACTGTCAAAAGTATATATTTTCTATATAAATTACCTGGAAGAAACTCTGCCTTCATATATGATTTTGATGGCATTTACGATTTTTTTTCCTTAGCAAAACCATTACACAATAAGGTATTCCAGCGGTAAAGCGGTTGTTTCAAATGTTGTAGTCTAGGCTATCAAAGGCCTTTTAAAAAATCAACGAAAATGCATAGAGGGGCTCTTCCATTCATAGTTTTGCTTAGTATTTGTCGCTAGGTAAATATGTGGTCAATGCATCGTTTGCCTTTCCCAAACCCAGCTTGTTCTTTTTGCATTTATTTCGTCTGCTTCTCTTGAGATTGTCTCGAACAGGAGTCTCCAAACTTTTCAGCCCGAGGGCCGCATTAACTATCGAATATAAGTTCGGGGGCCAGAGTTTCTTCCAGGTATATCATTGGGGATGGGGTGGCATTTTTCCGAAGTCACCTACAACAAAAAAAAATTTCCGTGGACAAAAAGATCTCCGAGGGCCGGATGAGAGGACCTCGCGGGCCGCAGTTTGGAGACCCCTGGTCTTAAATGATTCTGCAAAACATTTTACTGGTGAGTGGTAGGAGTATGAAGCCTCGCCAGATTTCAGTTTTTTTCCTTCCCTTTTCTTTTGTAGTTTGACTAATATACCAGTTTTCCATTCATGGGTTTTTTTTTCCTATCGTTCAAATTGTTCTTACAAATTTAACTCCATAAGGGGTCGCTCCCCCCACCCCCAACGAAATGGAATTTATATAAAAAACTTATAGTTTTACCAGCAGTGTTTCTTCCAGACTTTTTTTCTCCGGGGGGGGGGGGGGGGGCACTTGATATTTTCGGGGAAGGGGGGGGGGCGGTCAACATTTTTCGGGGGGGGGGGGCACTAGTAAAAGTGTATGTTTACTATATAAAATCCATCTTGTTCGGGGGGGGGGGGGCGGTAGACTTTCTTTCTATACGAAGTATAGTGAAAGTCTTGTAATCGTGCAAAAAAAATCGTGATTTTTGCAAATCTCGACGTTTTAGGGCTCCCTGAGTCGGAAAAACATAGTTTTGCAATCTTGTCCGTATGTCATTGTGTGTATGTGTCTGTGTGTAAACACGATAACTTGAGTACCGTTATAGCTAGGTTGATGAAATTTCAAATATAAGTATTAAGTATTATATCAAAATCGTAGATCCGTATCAACTTTTGAGCGATTTCCAACCGGAAATGGAACTTTTTCTACTTTGAACTTTTCAAAAGCCTATAACTTGAGTACTATTTCAGATAGATAAATAAAATTTCACATGTAAGTTAAAGATCTAATTCTCTGCCTTCTTTCAAATTTTGAGTAATTTCCGTTGACGGAAGTAGTAATTTTCACTATTTCCGATTTCTAAAAAAAAAACGCATCTGAATTTATAAAGTACTAATAATATTCCGCACTATTATGCACATTTTATTAGGCGTTCACTTGGTGTGCAATTCTTTTTTCTACGAGATTTCCTTCTATTTTAAAAAGTTTAAGTATTTAAAATGGATTAAAAATCATGTCTATATTCCGAGTTGCCATCCCCTACTGTTTCATATAGATCTAAGAATATTCGAGACAGTTTATGGGAGATCCCTCCCGTTTTTGTTTTGTTTCGGCACACTGGGCGGTTATATCCAAAAATAGCTTCCTCCAAGATTATTTTAATGCCAGTTTGTCATTTGTATTCAAAATATATTACGATCATATTTCTCTTCTAGTTATGTATAATATTATCGAAATATTTAAACAATATTAACATTAATTTATAAAAAAAATTATTTGAACAAAATTTTGATATCTCAAACGAGTGTTTATTAAAATCTTTGTTTAGTAATATGAATTAATATGTTTGGCTATAATGTAAAAAGTAAATTTTGGTCATCCTATTAGTCCTATTAGTACTTGACAACACACAGGACCATCAAGAAATAAATTACAACTTGCAAAAATTCATCACTAATTCCACGACACAATGTCTTTCAGGGACAGAGACCGAAACAGGGGGTATGCAAATGATGGGCTTATTACTAGCCTATTATTATACTAAATATAACTAACTAAGATTCTTGACTAGGCATAAATAAATAATTATTTAAGGACTCAACGGTCTTCTTGCCCCTAACTCCTAGCCCTGCCCTGCCCTAGCTAGAGCCTCTAGATCTAGCTCTAGACTAGACTATACTAGACTATACTACTTAACTATACTTAATATACTATAGAGATCTAGATTTAGATACTAGACCTAGATTCTAAATGGCCTAGTCTAGAAATATATTTTTGAGGCTTAGGCCCAAAAATTTTTTGTCTCTGTTTTTTTTTTATTCATACCATTAGGCAGGCCTACTAGATCTAGATCTAATAATTTTTTAATTTATTAGGCCTAACTAAGTATTTAGTAAGATCAACCAAAGTCAACAAACTCTGTTTAAATTGAGTTTGAAAGTAGATCTAGATCTAGACTCTAGGTCTAAAAATTTAGAAATCTAAAATCTAAATGCAGCTGCTGAAACTATAATTAAGAATGCTAATCTACTATCTATATCTAGATCTACTACTAACTAATCTACTAGTAGGCCTAATCTATACAACTAGATCTAGAGTTAGATTATTTTAGTTAAAATAGTTACATTGCTTTGTAGGTTTGGGAGTAAATCTGATGGAGGTTCCAGAGGACATTATGATAGAGGAGGAGGCAGATTTGGAGGTTTTGATCGGGGAGGTTTTGATCGTGGAGGTGGCAGGTCCTCATTAAAAGGAAGTCAACCTGGACAAAATCTGAGGAGGCCAAAATGGGATTTGAGCAAGCTACAAAAGTTTGAAAAAAACTTTTATAAAGAGCACATAAATGTTGCTCACAGAACACAGGTAAAAGCCTAGATATTAAAATAATATTGGTTACAGAGGCTTAATGTTTCTGATTGATTTTTATGTAGTTAAGAGCACCATGCAATTAAACCCCTCTCTTTAATACATTTTGCACTGCAGTTTTTCACGTTTGCTGTTTTATGGACAGTTCATTGTATTTGAAACTTTGCATTAATATAGTTTTAAATCACCTTTTACAAATGGCAGAGTGAAATACAACAGTTTTATGAAGCAAATCAAATCACTGTAAATGGGAAGAACATACCTAAACCAATATTTACATTTGAAGAAGGACTTTTTCCAGGTGAGTTTTAGCTATTCTGCTTGATATTGTACACTATATGTAAAATAAAAGAATTAGAATCCACAAAAGCAAACTTATAAATATTTAAACAGACAAAAAAATGTCCATTACTGTAAGACTATAATTTAACATGCTTGATTATTTTCTAAATTGTTAACTGGAAGTTTGTTAGGCCTATATATTTTCATTTTGATTTTCTGAGACTATCAAGAAATTCTCATTGTTTCAATTTCAGATTATGTCATGAATCAAATAAAGAAAAACTGTTGGCAGGCCCCCACATCAATCCAATCTCAAGGCTGGCCTATAGCTCTCTCTGGTCTAAACATGGTTGGAATAGCACAGACAGGCTCTGGGAAAACATTAGCTGTAAGACATTCACAACTTTTGAGTTCCGTAAATTTATGTGAAATCCCTTACACTGCACCATAAGAATAGAAGTGTAAGCATCACAATTATAATTCAGTTGGCGCCTTTCAGTTATTAAATAAAAGAAAATTCAATAAGCAATAATAAGCAATGTGTAAATCAGTATCTTAGATGCTCATCACAAGGTACTTTTATGCAAGATCTGTAAAAGTGGTGATAAATAACTTGTAATTAAGGTCCATATTTTGAACTGTACATGCAACTGATTTAAGTAATAATGTTTGTGAAATATATACTGTGTTTGATTACAGCTGGGGAAACTAGTAATAAAAATATTGTATTTTGCTTGAACTGACAAAAATACCTTGTTATAACGTAATAGTCTAATAAAATGGCCTAATGATAATCTTAATATTTACCTTGTGCAGATCAACGTCAATTTCAATGTAAAACTATTCAACTAAGTCAAATTTGTTTTTGACATTATTCCCTACCCTGTATTCCAGTTTTATGTTTAAATAACTTAAAAATGTAATAACATGTGTCACACATATTTCAGTTCATCCTCCCAGCTATTGTCCATATTAACAACCAACCTCTTTTGGAGAGAGGTGATGGACCTATTGTAAGTGAAGTATTTTATTTTTTCATATTCTAGCAACTTATCTGTTTTCTTGCACTTGTTTCCATCCAGCTGATGAGTAGGTTATCTCAAATTGAAAATGTGGTTTTGACCAGTTGTTTGTGTTTTCCAGTGTTTAGTACTGGTCCCAACACGAGAGCTGGCCCAGCAAGTTCAGCAAGTGGCCCAGGAATTTGGCCATGCCTCACAGATCAGAAATGCTTGTGTTTATGGTGGTGCCCCTAAGAGGCCGCAGATACAGGATTTAGAAGATGGTAGCAGTTTTTTTTCTTTTTATATAAACTTATTATAACAAGAAAATTATAGCTAAAAATTTTTTTTAAATTAATGAAACGACATAAACTTTGTCAACAAGGAGCTGAGATCTGCATTGCTACACCAGGCCGCCTAATAGATTTGCTAGAATCAAACAAAACCAATTTAAGAAGAACAACTTATTTGGTGTTAGACGAAGCTGACCGCATGTTGGACATGGGATTTGAACCGCAAATCAGAAAAATTATTGAACAAGTTCGAGTAAGTTATTGAAAAGATTTATTTTTGTCATTCAAATTTTTTCTCAAGAATTTAAAAAATGTTGCCCAATTACATAATTCTCTAAAATGTTGTCTTGCTTTTTTAGCCTGACAGACAGACTTTGATGTGGAGTGCTACCTGGCCGAAGGAAGTACGAAGGCTGGCAGAGGATTTTCTCCAAGACTATGTGCAAGTTAACATAGGAGCTCTGCAGTTGACAGCTAATCATAATATCCTGCAAATTATTGATGTGTGCATGGAGTTTGAGAAGGAAGACAAGTTAGAATATTTTATTACTTGTAATTATTGAAAAACAATGAAGTCTGAAAAGCACCTTTTGCTAAGGTCACCAGACATAGGAGATTAAGAATATGCTCTTTTTCTTACCTTAGTTCATACTCAACTCTTTTACTGATGATTCACGGTTTAATGACATAATTAATTGTACATTTTATAGGTGGTATGTTTTATAGCAATGTTAAGAAAAAAGGAAGAAATGATGTGAAACCAAAAGTTTCATCTACTATTATTATTATTATTTGGGGGGGGGGGGGGGAGGAGGAGGAGGAAGAACTTTATGATTTATCATTTTAGGAGTTCTTGCTTTATGCAGTGTCATGTGACTGTTAATGTTTCTAGCACTTATGTTAGGAATAACATTCAAATGTCACTCTAACCACCTTTATTCATAAAACCTCAAACAGTTAATAAATAAGCTGACCCATTGGGGATTGTTATTGTTTATCATAATACACCAGACCAGGCTGGTAGTTTGGTAGTTCAAATAAGCTGTTTCTCTTGAGTGCATTTAGAATTAAACAATACTGACATGGAAGTGTTTAAAAAAGAATATAAGTGCACAATGCCACTGTTTTGATAAAATAAACCAATTTACCATTCAGTGCCTAATTATGAGTGTAGCGTTCTTTAGGACAATGGTCCACTGTAGGTAATGAACTCAATAAAAATAATTCAATGTTGCAGACTTGTCAAATTGTTAACAGAGATCATGCAAGAAAAAGAAAATAAAACTCTGATTTTTGTTGAAACTAAACGTAAAGCTGATGATATATCTAGACGCATGAAGCGAGATGGGTAAGTTTTCATTATTGTGTTATTACCTGCTATATGTTAATCTTTAACAATTCATTCCTAGTTTATTGACCAGTGTTATAAGCTAATTCCATTCCACTTAGTTTATAACATAATTTTTAGTCAATTTTTGAAAGATTGTTGGTTTGATTTGACTTGATAAAAGTACAAGTAACACAATTATTTTTCAAATGTTGAATTAGGTGGTGTAGTGAAAATATTGAATTTCTTTTTCAGGTGGCCTGTGATTTGTATTCATGGAGACAAATCTCAAGACGAGAGAGACTGGGCACTGAATGGTATTTCATTTTCTTACCCTCAGTGGTTTTGTCTCGAATGTTTACAGACTTATCCTTAAATGCATTCTAAAACTGTTTTTTTAATGTCTTAAATCTGAATTTAGCTTGTTCTGTTTTTAGAGTTTAGAAGCGGCAAAACACCAATATTACTGGCAACAGATGTTGCTTCCCGTGGCTTGGGTAAGTTGTTTGTGATTGTTCTTGCATTTTTTTTTGACATGCTGTTCACTTCAAATGTTAAAATTACATTGTGTATTGTTAAGATTACAGTTATTTCATTCAAACTTGTTATGGATATCATTGATGTTGAAACCTAAAAATGTAGCTGGCCAATATTTGTTTAGTCGTGGAATTTGAAACAAATTCTGTTCAAAATGTTTTGGGTGGTACACTGAAACTAAAATGTTTTATGAATAGTTTCTTTACTCATTTTCTTTAACTTGAACCCATTAATGCAAAGGATGAAATGAGGTATAATCACTCGCAACCAGTATCTACAGAGTAACAAGCTCTCTATACATTGTGATAACATGTTTCCTTAAATATCTGACCTACATCAAAAATAATACTTAGCAATAGTATTTAGCAGCATGTATGTGTGGGGAAGGGTGTTGCATTTGAAGTAACGTAACTCTCAGCGTTAATGGATTGTAGAGCTATAATCATCTTATTAGTATCCGAGTCCAATAATTTGAAACATTTTGTTTATTTATTGATTTATAGTTTTGTTAAATAATTTAAACTAATGCTTTAAATATACTTTTTGTTTCAGGTGAATTATGATTCTAATTTTTCAGGATCTTCTTGTATTTCTTAGACCATAGATTATTTTATCCATGATAAAAAGGCACCTGAAACTGCTGTTTGAATGTTACTAGGTTGAAAGCATAATTTGAAACCTTTTTTAATCTTTGACATTTTAAGCACCTCATGATTATCACCACACTTAATAATGGGCATTTTTAAAAAAAAAATTATTTTGGCTTTGTTTATGAAAGTGAATGACATCTGATAAAAATATTTAAAAAAACGTTTAAGGGGGGTTTAATTGTGGGGGTTTTTGGGTAGAGAAAATAAGTAGTGTTCAGTTGAGACCTGTCTGTCATTGATCATACCTTCAGTAAAGTAACGTGAGACACATTAACTTACCCTCACAAAGGTTGACAAGAATTGTAATTGTGGTGCTTATTATGTTAAAGTTAATTAGGGAGGTCATAGGTCTGCTGAATATTTTAAATGGGTTCATTTATTTTGGTACTTTTCCCATACCAGCCCATTGAAACATTGATTTATACAGACTGTGTTGCAGGTAGAAAATGATCCTGTTGAGAAAAATATCACAGACTCACTTTTAATGTAAAAAAGAATCTATTTATTATTTTGATAATAACTTGAATAATAGTAATTCTAATTATATCTTCAAATCAAGTACTTTATTACAAAATGTTTCTCACAGCTGTATAAGAAAAATACTATCAGATCAGATTTACTCTGGATGATTTTGTTTACCTGGGATACCAATAGAACATGTATAAATGTGTTCCACAACTGGTCTTTAGAAAAGTACCTTAAAACTATTGTCCCTCTTGTGTTAAATTATGATTAGAGTATAAAAAAAGTCAATTAATTGGTGTAGTGTGTATTTTGACAGGGTGCCTCGCCTGGAAGTCTGATCATGACTGGAGAACCGTGCAGCGAGAAGCTAGTTTAGCCTTACATGGAATCCAGTGGCAAGGTGGATTCCCTACGAGTCTGCCAGTCGCTGGATGCCTAACACAAAGACTGGCACTGTTTTAAAGGACGTGTTTTGCCAGTCTACCCCCACACTATGGCTAACCTTTAACCACTCTAGTCTCACCATCTTCTATGGGACATTAGTTATCATGAGTGGGTATAATTTCCCATGTTTTGGTTGTGAGGCTGACATCAATTATCCTACTATAATGGAACAAGTCTGTTCTGAAGGCAATAGCAGGGACTGCCTTTCAAGATACTTTACCATCAATCATTTGTCTTTGTGTAAGTTATATACAATGGTGCATTTTGAAATATCTGTTTATAGGTGTGTATTTTTCATCCTTGAGGTAAACATACTGTCATTGGTTTTATTTGTATGTTCCAAATGTTACTTCATTGTTTGTCTAAAATCTGTGCCACAAGCAAACCTCATTACCACTAAAAAGATACTCAGCCTCCCAACCTCCCCACTTGTGTTTAAAGATCCCTAGTATCAGCCATATCTTCCCCACCCTTTATTTTTCGCTGAACGCGGCTGAAGTCATGTCATCAGACACAAGGTGTTTTGAGGCTTAAATTTGGGAACCTGCCAGCACATTTTAGGACTCACTTTCTACATCATTCTACATAGGCAAGCTGTCAATTCACTTTGCATTCAATCTGCTCATAAACTCCACTGAAATAGTTAGCTTCCTTACCCTATTTTTAATGAGAGCAAAAGTGACACTAGGCAGATTGCTAGCTTAATGTAAAGTAGTTCAGATGTGTATGGTTGTGTTCCCTGTATAGATTTAAGTGTTGCATAGTTTTAAAAACTGTCATTGAGTGGCTAGTCTTATACTGGAACTTGAAGGTAAGTTCTTATCCTGATCATTCAAGGTAAGTCCTTGTGGTAATCATTAAGGACAGTTTTTAGGCATTGATGATTATTGTTTTGGGTTGTGAATTCAGTGCTAAATAATACACTTTTCATTGTGGTTTACTGACAAAAATTAAAAAAATAAGTCTTAGAAGTGTCATTGTTTGATGGGTGATTTTTAAGTTTTGTAAGGTTTAATTTTTACTTGACAAAACATACTACATTAAAAAATGCAGTCAAAATGGTGAGCCATCAATGTCTAAAACATATGAAAAAAGTTTAAATTTTACATGGGCTATACATTTTGAAAAAACAGCAAGTTTGGTGCTTTTGGTTTAAATGATTAAACAATGCTTGAAATGAAAAAAAAAACTTTGCTAGCTAAAAACAAACAATCTAAAATAATTAAGTTTTTGAAAGTTGCTGTATTGGTTACAGATGTGGAAGACATCAAATTTGTCATCAACTTTGACTACCCTAATTGTTCAGAAGACTATGTTCACCGTATAGGGCGTACGGCCCGTTCCACCAACACGGGTACTGCGTACACCTTGTTTACACCTTCTAATATCAAGCAGGCTCCTGACCTGATCTCAGTGCTGCGTGAGGCCAAACAAGTCGTCAGCCCCAAACTCTTAGACCTGGCGGACTCTTCCAGAAATTTCCAGGGCAGAAGTAAGTTGTTGAGTCAATTTTGATTTGGAATTATTTTAATTCAGTTGTTCGTTTTACACAGAAATGCCTATCATCCCAGCAGCTTTTATTTATACAGCAAAGAAGGAACACAGCTGTATTCATAAATTAAAAATGAAATAAAATTATTTAAATATTTATTTCAAGTTAGCAAAGTAGCATCCACATTTATGTTCCCCTCTTTTGCTTCAAATTTTTCTTTGTATGACTAAATGCTGTGTAGGTATGTCTGGTTTTATAATGTTTGACTACATGAAAGAAATTAATATGCCAACCCTCCCTATAGATTTGAATAACTTCAAGTTACAAATCAGTGAAATGTTTGCAATACCCAACCCTCCCCTAGGATTAGAAATCTCCCTTATTTGATTACAGAAAAATTAGAAGCCAGTGAAATTAATAATTTCTGTCTTAAAGGAATTTTAATAAAATGCATTTTATGTGCAGTAGCTAAACCAACCTTCATAGATAAGATAAAAACAAAGTGTTTTCTCCAGGTCGTAGTCGCTGGGCTTCGAAAGAAAGAGGTGGAAGAGAAGACAGAAGCACAACATCTCTGCGAGACAGAGACGCCAGTGGACGAGGTGGTGGCAGAGGCGCTAGTAGTACTGGATACACTAGTAGTACTGGATATAGACTAGGAGGAGGAGAAAGGTTTCGTGATATGTTACTTTTACATTAATTCTTCAAAATTAAAGATTGTTCAAAATAAAAATGAAGATATTTTCTTTAGCTGTAGGAACCAAAGAGTTTGGTGGGTCTTACATTTAGGTGTTATAAAAAAGTTTCTGCTAATTAAACCTAAGTTTTAATAAATAGTCATGATCAGTTGTATTGTTCAAACAATGAGTAAAGTTTGTGTTTTATCTTAACATGACATACTTTGTAATTGTAGTTGATGTTATTTTAATGATATACTGTTCACTTGGTGACATTCTGTGTGATTGTAGTTCACGCGGAGGCCACTCAAGTAATATGAGACCAGCGGACAGGGACCAGTTTGGGAGAGATAAGCCTAACACATACACACAGCAGAACCAACCAAAGCCTGCGGGATTCAACCCAGGAGTTGCCAAACCCAGCCTGTTTAACACACCAGCCCAAAGACCCCCTGGTGTCAGTAGTTCCTACACTCAGGGATACCAGGTAGGGCAGCTGTCATTTTAACTGATCAAATCACAGGCAAGGTGTGGACGAGCCTTTGTTTAAAACACCAGTTGTTTACATTTTAACTAACCTTAACCAACTCATCATTGTTGCATGGCAACTACTCATCGCTGTTTCATTTGAAGTAAATTGGCAGCACATAACCATCATCACGCAATATGTTTACATTGAGTTTTCTATTAATATAATGCAATGTTTTGGTACTCTTAAAAGGCTAACATTTGCTTAAATTAGCACTTATGTTGGTGACAAAGCCTGATGTTTGTATATTTATCAGGCACCCAAACCTCTGTTGGGGGGAGGCAGCAACAACTTCCAGAGTTCAGCCATGACCAGGAACAACTTCCAGTCCCCCCAGGGTGGCTACAACCCACAGGACACCAGCATGCCCAACTACAGCAACCAGAACATGTACACCCAGCAAGCCCCACCCCAGCAACAGTGGAGTCAAACCTTCAGACCACCCCTGCCAGTGAACGCACCTCCACCACCCCCACCTCCACAGAATTCTGGCTATTGATTGAAATAACTTTTATATACATTTACAATTGCATGATAATATATGTAAATAAAATTGATATGCTAATCATTTTTTGTTGACCAAAACCAATACTTGATTCCTGACCAATAATTTGTGGGATTAAGAATGTGATGAAAGTATTTCACAGGAATACGTTTTAAAAAAAAATCTTAATTGATTAACTAAAAATAATTAGTAGTTAAAAATATTAACATTTTAATTAATATTCATTGACTTTAAATTAATTATTTCTGATATATATATATATATTTATCATTTACCTTGTGTATGTTGGCAAATTGATATATACATGTTGCTAAATAACCACTAGATGTCCCCATATTTTTATTTCCATTATTACATACATTGACTCATATTCATTACTATTGCAATTGAAATAAAAGTAGCAGGCGGCTATGATAAAACGTTTGGTGCCGGATTTCTCATACCAATATGTTCATATTAACCATGCAAAATAGTTTATTACATCTTACTGACTTAATGCATGGTGTTTTAATTCAATGAGGCAACTAAAATGTTCATATTCTCTTTATTTTATGAACCTATTGTATATGAACATAAGCTGTTAATTAATGTATGTAGTAGTAACCATGTCTTGTAGTCTGATGTTGATAAATGTTCACATTTCAATTGGATTTGAATCATTTGCGAGTGATGTTTTATTTTAATATGACTTATACATTCTTCAGAACACATTTTAAATTGAAATTAATTAATAAACTTCAACTTTTAATATTTTAAATTTTATTTATGAAACGCATGATTAATGAGATGCGAATAAATGGAAAAATTAGGAAAACAATTTGTGTTTATTCCTTCTTTTTATGGGTTAAGTTTTTTTATTTACTTGTATAAGAACATGCAATTTTTAATTATTACATTTTTAATTATTTTTGAAACAGTATGAAGGCATGTTTGGTTTCATTAAATCAAATGGTGTCACAATAGTGGGTAGAGGGCATACCATGACCAAGGGAAAGTCCAATCAAATGGTGTCATAACACTGAGCTAGAGAATAAAACTTAGATGAGCTGTTCTGTAATAAATTGCTTGGAGAATCCACTTCTATAATTTTACCTTGCCCTAGCACAATAATTCTGTTTAAAGGCAAACAAAAAATACAACCATTTAGAAGGTAATGTAATCCATTTGTGTACTGGCAATAACTTAATATGATTAAACAATTATTTTTAATGAAGTTCATCTGTACAATGATCTCAGCATACAAGGGGATAGTGTGGTCAGCACTATGCCCAGCTGCCGTTGTTTCCCTAACTTGAGTCAGGTACACATCAGAGCTGAGTGGACTCAGGGACGACATACGTCCTCACAGAAATCCAAAGTTGAGACCTGTAGGCTAGCAGCCAAACGCTCTATCACTCGAACATGCTGTCCTCAAATTCTGTTACTACTTAACATTTAATATTTATTTTATGAGCCTTATCAAGCCTAAAGAATATTTTCCAATAGGGATATGTAAAAATACTATTTGTCAAACATACTGTTTAAGACTCAACACTTCATACATTCTGTTAGTGAACTTTGGTGTCAGAGTTACCTGTCATAGTCCATGACTGTATGAATTCTGTGGGCTATGGTGATCACTGTACAGTCCCTGAAAGCAGTCCTTATAGTTTTCTGAATAAAATCATCTGTCTCTATGTCCACTGATGCTGTTGCTTCATCAAAAACTAAAATCTTTGTTTTTCTCAGTAGAGTTCTGGCTAGGCAGATCAGCTGTTTCTGTCCCACACTAAACACAAACAAGTTGGTAAAGGTTGTTTATGTTGAGGAGATAAATAATAACATTTAAATAATGGAAGTGAGGTGTGTATGTCAATGTTTATTCTGAATTGATGTGGTCATCCAGCTCTGAAGACTACCCAGGACCATTTTAATGGAAAGATAGGATGCACGAGTCTCAAATATGATAAAATACTAATATTTTGTGTGATTTTAATCTCATCTGAGGCTATAATTCTATGTGAATAAAGTGTGAAATCATATTTGATAAAAAATGACTTTACTAACCTGAGATTTTCTCCCCCCTCCCCAACATCATACTCCAGCTGATTGGGCAACTGTTGAACAAAGTCTTTAAGGTTGGCATGTTCTAAGCTATCCCAGAGTTCTATGTCAGATTTTTCGTTGGATGGGTCAAGGTTCATGCGCAAACTGCCAGCAAAAAGCACTGGATCCTGAAAAAAGATTTTGTAAACTGGAGCTTTTTTACAAGCTAGATAAAAAAAAATTCTAAGTTACACTCTTAATTCTAAGCAATATATTTGTTCTTCATAAAGTATTTACATCCAATATAATTTCATTTTGGATGTTGCTAAAATCATACTGCTTTTAATAACGTTATACTGTTAAACAATAAAACAGTCGAATTTCAAAAGGTGTCTTGCATAAATCATATTCATTGAAATTGAACTGTTACTTAGATCTATTTCAAGACTATTGTCTTTGATTAATTTTTTTTAAGCTTTAAAAAATATTTAAAGTTTAAAACAAATGCATGTGTCAAACTGAGGTTTAACTGAAGTTCCTATAGCTTACATGAAAATTCTATCATTTGCCTAGCATAAAATTAAAAGAAAAAACCTAAATTGTTCCTTATAAAGCTTCCTTAATTTTTTAGCAGAAATAAAAATTTTAAAAATTTCTGGGATAAAAATTTCAAGCAGAAATAACTATTAAGAGGATTCATTACCTGTGGCAGTATGGTGACAGCATGTCGAAGTGTGTGTAGCCCAATCTTTGAAATGTCCACACCATCTATTGCAATGTAGCCACTTGCTGCTTCAATCAAACGGAAAAGGGCAAGAACCATAGAAGATTTACCTGCTCCTGTTCTTCCTACAATTCCTATCTAAGATTCAACAGTATAATATTTAGCTAATAAAACACCTCTATTAGGTTGTGGTTTAATGAATATACAATGATGGTTTGTATTTTTTAAATTCTCAGCAGAATAACAAATTAAACTTCACAAAAAAGATATATAAATATAAATAGGCTATAAAATACAATATCACTTTGAGTGATAGAAAAATAATATTTTAAGTGACTAACATTTGTTCAGAATTTACCTTCTCTCCAGGATGTATTGACACATTGATGTTTAGCAGTACAAAATCTAATCCTTCTCTGTATCTTGCACTATAATTAACAAATTCTATATTTCCATTCAGTGGCCACACACCTGATAATCTAATGTCATCTGGCAAAGTCCAAGGAGCCTGGGACAAAAAGATTATTTTTTTACTATAATTTTGTTAATTTTGTCAAGAAATACACTATTCGGAATGTTCAAATTTGGTACAAATTTCAATGTTATTTTTACCTCACTTTTAATTAGTGAATATTCTTGAATTCTTTCCACAGATATGATGTTTGATTCAAGGTCACTTGACATTCTTGTCACTAATGTCATGTCATTTGTTATCTATAATTAATACCATATATAACATTTAGAAGCATTTCATATATAATTATAACTAACAATAATTTTAATTAACAAATATACTCTATAAAAATTCATACATTAAAACAATAAAAAAAAGTCAAGTAGGCTCTTTAATTAAAAAGTTAAATTCTTCTTACCATTAATACAAAAGTAATGGACAAACTGACCAAACCTGGGGCCACTTCCCCTCTATTGATTATTGTAAAGAGGGTAACACCAGCAATTAAAATATATGTAATAATGTCCAAACGAGTTTGCATCCAGCTGTGTAATGTAGAATGGGTTTGATTCATTAACATAAGACAACTCACTTTTAAGATAACTAAGAGTATAAATAGAGTCTATAAAAAATGATATCCAAGTTGTTAATTTTTTTTTTATGGTTTCAAAAAATGGAATTACAGTATTCACTTACTTGTTTGTTGCATGCATTATCATCAAAGGTCTCTGAAAGAAGTCGACCTTCATGTGAGAGTCTTGTGTGAACCTCAGCTGCTGCCTGTGTGCTCTGATGACTGTCAGACCAGACAGTGTCTCGCTGAAGTGGGCAAATACAGGTGAGCGATTTTTTGATGTGATACGCCTCAGCTGACATGAAGTCCTGATATAATATTGCTGGCAATCATAAAGATATCCGTTAATAATAAGAATGTTTTGAAAAAATGGGCTACTTTAAGCCTACTAAATACAACTAATAAGTTAATTAACTTTAACAGATATACTTCAACTATGATAATTACATCATTTCATAATTTCTTCTATAAAAATATATTATGGAAAATACATAAAAGGAATGTTCTTTGTATAGCCAGGCATGAGTCAGACACTGGCCCCTGCCCACCCCACTCAGGGAAAAATTATATGGGGCACCTGCCAAACTGGAGACCAGTCCGGTTTGTTCACGAAGTTGGACTTGTTGTCTGAATCCTCCACCATATTCTCAATTAAGAACAAAGAAGAAGAAGAAGACATAAAAGTGAGCTTCAAAAACAAATCTTTACCTGCACAATAATAAAAAGGAAGGCAGAAACAAATAATACACCAAGGAACCCTGAGAATATGTAGCTGATATACCCCAGATTTCCAACTGCAAACATCACAATCTGAATAAATATCTCCAAATTTATAAATATTTCACAGTCTAGAATATCCAAATCTTGACTAAACCTGTTCAAAATTCTCCCCATAGGAGTTGTGTCAAAAAATGACATGGGTGCTCTTAGCACTGAATTTATAAGTTTTGCATGTATCCATCGACAGGTGGTCACATGACGCAACTGGAACAGCCCTGAGTATATCAAAACACATAAAGCTGTGGACAAAAGGAAAATATAATCAATCATAATAAATTATCTAATACTGAAGGAACAAATCACATAATGGATCCCTAGATAGAAAAATATTTGAAAATCTTTAGGTAATTTTAGAAAGAGTCTGATGATATGCTTGCTTCTAACTTCAAACTATAACTATAAGAAAAATTAACCGTTTGCTTTAAAAACATAAAAAATTTAAATAAAAAAAAAAAACAACTGACATGTCATGATTTTTAGAAGTCTTTGCAGACTTACACTGAATAGAGCCACAAATAAGATAAGACAGAACATAATGTTTATTCATGTTATATCTTTCATTGCTGTTAGCTGGGAGCTCTGTCAAGTTGGACAATCGAACATCCCCTATCCACATTGTCAAAGTTATGTATGCTGCATTATAGGCAACATGGAAGCCACATATAAAAACAGCTGTCAGTAACACATATGGTACACCATAACCTTTGATGATATCTAAATAAACTTTCCATTTGACCTGAGGATAGAAAAAGATAAAGAGAAAATTTACTACACAGAATTAATAATATTACTTATAGATATCTATAGTGATAAATCAATGATGCATACTTTTCCTATTTGAGTTTCTTCCAATGTGATGAGTTTGCTCCTATTAATGGACTCATCTTCCTGTTCTTTTAAAGGTGTTTCTAAAATGCTGCACTTTGTTTAAAATAAATTTTGTCAATATATGTCTACATCTATCTAAAAAAATGAAAATTTAAATAATTAAAACTCAAAATTTCAAATAAATTTAAATACATTTTTTTCATCTGAGTTTGGGCAAATTGTTTCAACTTTCCTAAAATGTAAAAAAAAAAGACTTGCTTTCTAATGGTACTTCTCATTCTGTTCCTGATGTTGGTAGTTTGTTCAAACATTTTTCCTATTTAAAATTGTGTTCAAGATTCTAAACATTTGTTTTCATTGTAGATACACAGTAATAATAATAAGATATTCATTTATCAAAAGTTAAAACTTA